TAAGAGGAAAAATAAAAAACTAGAAAAACTTCTCTAAAAAAAATCTTCCTACATTTAAAAAACTCTAAAAAAACTACTTTCTCATCGTGACCAACCAGTGCGCGCCACATGGCATAGCTGATTGGCCACCATTCTAGCACCTCTTGATGGGTTTAATTGCACCTTATATTTTGAATAAATAAAGCGACCATGTTTCCCCTAAAAAAATCTACTAGAGAGTGGAATTTTTTTCTTTCGGGCTACATGGAACCCAAAATTTCCAAAAAAATGTAAAATTAATTATTAAGTTTTTAAAAACTGAAAATATAAAATCATGCACTTTTGTAGTGAATAGTACATGTGCTAGAAATACGTGATTTTATTATTTTTGTGTAGCTCGCATATAAAAGTATTTCGTCATGAAACTTTGCAGAGAAGTGGTATACAACCATATGTATATGTGCATTGGGTTTTCAGATTTTTTAAAACTAAAAGTTTTAATTTAAAAAAATAATTCAAATTAAGGGCTCCATGCAGCTCGAGCTCCCTTAGCAATTTTCATATCAACTGCTCCGATAAAATTGTGAGTGAGGCTGATACAAACCATCTCAACCATCGATCCACCCAACCTAACAATTCAAAACTTTTGAATATTAAGCACCAACCAATTTTAGCACCCAATTATATCATATTCCCTGTGTCCCAAAATTCTTGTCTTAGACACGTTTTGGTGTTAAATACATTCGTATCTAGACAAATCTAAAACAGTAATTTTGGGACGGAGGTAACATCTAATATCAATATTAGTGCAAATTATGTAATTAACATAGGTCTGAAATAAAAAAAGGAATCAATATACCATCTAATATCGAAATGCAGTTATTTTGTAGTTAATATACCATCTAATATGTAGAAAGGGGGATACTTCGGGTTCGGATTAGCTTGACAGCCACAAATGAAAAGATGGGCACAGACTCGGTAGGACGGACCATAGTGTATGATATCTCAGTTATCTTATTTGTACCTATTTTGATTAAAAAAAACTTAAAGCTAACGTGAAGCTAACAGATTGGCTGAAACTGCTCAATCCACACTGCTCCCTTCTTCTTTGGAAGCAATGTAAGAGTACCACTTTTTAGCCTAAAACAACCGTGGTTTCCCGTTCAACAAATCATCAAACAATGACATCAAATCTCCTTCCTCTGCATAGTTGGAATGGTTGATTGATGTTGTATCTAGTGTAGTAAAAATTCAATGTGTATTCAAAAATCTTCACTATATATTTAAAAAATGTCAATATATATTTAAATAGAGAAAAAAACTAAAAATGAAAAATACAAAACAAAATCAAAGAGAAAACAAAAAATTATAAAGAAAAGAATAAATCGAAAATGAAAAATAAATAAAAGAAAACCAAAAAATATAAGAAAAAGAAAAGCAACCAGAATCTTCCCAGAACCAGGTGGAAGGTTCCAAAACCGGTCCACTACTATTCGTTAATGGGCCACGGCCCGCCTTGAGTCACCAGAGGTGAGCACTATGTATAGAGTGGAAATCTCTGGAAAAAAAATTTGTCTCAAAAAAAATCTCTGGAAAAAAAGTATAGAGTGGATTTTTTGGTCTCGGGCTCCCTAAAGCCCGAAATTTTGAAAAATAATATGAAAATCATAAACCAATATGCACTTTCTTACATGAACCAATTTTTGGTATAGCTTTTGCCATATTTTATTATCTCATAAATATGAGTTAGAAATAAAATACACAAATACTTGTAGATGTATGGTAGACATGTGTATTTTTTCATCATGAAATATGTTTTTACGTGAGCATTAAAAAAGTCATGTACTTTTATAGTGAATAGTACATTTGCTAGAAATACGTGATTTTGTCATTTTTGTGTCGTTCGCATAAAAAGGTATTCTGCCCATTCAACAAATCATCAAACAATGACATCAAGTCTCCTTCTCCGTGTAGCTGTAATGGCTGATTGATGTTGTATCTAGTGTAAATATGGTCATAATGCATGGTTGGGAGTTGAGCAATGAAGGTTGGGAGTTGGGGTGATGGATGTGCTTGTCGTATGGTGGGCTATCAGTTATATTGAACGCATCGAATGCATTGAGAGAGACATGCTTTCAAAAATAGACGCGCGAGTAGTATGGTATGATGGTCACTCGCAAAAAAAAGTATGGTACGATGGTGCAAGACGAGGAATAGTACACTACACACATGTGGAATCTTGTAT